AGTTAAACCTTCACATGTACCCCTGAACTTAAAAGTTAAAAAAAAGGTTGCTCTATCCCAGATTTTGTCTGTCTCTAGTAAAATGAAGAGCCCTGGTCAACTGATCTAAAAGGGTCTGACATTTTGCCTATGATTTTTTTCTGTTTCATCCTTCATCAGTTCTAGAGAGCCCTCATATTGTCTTTGTTCTTTTTAGCCATGTCGCTTGTTGCGTATATTTAAAAAACAATCATATTGATGCTGGTGAGTTTCTTTATGAACAGAACCAATGTCTGTACTTGGCTTTACATCATCTTCAGAAAGACTAAGGCACTCTGGTAATCTGCTCTTACTGAATTGAAACCCCTTTGGGAAAGGATGTTTGCAAGAAAACTCTATGTTCTGGTTTGTCCACAAGAGATGAGTTCGGAATTTTGAGTTCATCATTCTTTTGGAATTTATGGAACCCTGGCTTAGTGGAACCCCGGCTTAGTGGAACCCCAACCAAAGTGTAAGGGGTAAAGCATGTGGTAGCCTCAGTCACAAACATACTGATTTTCTGTAACCACTAACAGCAGGAAGCATGATTTTTACCTAATTTCTTTTCATGTTTTACCTAAACAAGAGTGCCCTCGCTAATTAAGAACAAGATTTTTTTTATCTGCATCTTTAGGTCCTGGCTTCTTTTGGGCTGGGACTTACGTACACTTGGAATTTGTTGGCTAGAGTTTTAAAACAGATGGTCACATGTTTTTTTTTCTCTAAGAAACTTGCTTGGTTGTTTGTCTTCTAGTTCTCATGGTAACCAAAGAAGGTTGTTAACATTTTTTTCTCACCAAGTAAAATCAGCAGAGCTGTCAGACAGTTGCAGCTGTGTGATAAAAGCTTGACCTTTTGCTGTATTTTTCTTTCTTCTGTTGATAGGCTCTTATTACACTGAACTTTGTTTTTAGTGACATATAGTAAGAAAAAGAACCTAAAAGGCATAATTTTTTGCCTATTGCTTTTCTAATAATGTGGCATTGCTATCAGAAAATAAAGATATTCCTACAAAATAAGATCCTTGGTAACGAGAGCCAATGTTATATATGGCTCAAATAGATAAGACATGCTTGGGACCATTTAGGTTAGCTTCACACATTACAGATTTATCATCTCAGTTTCTGAAAATATTTAATTGCATTATATTTTCAGTCAGTAGATGAGATATGGAGGCAGAGTCACTTTAAAAGGGTCTGGCTTAGGTTCCAACCAATGGTCAAATGTAAAATTTTACTAGTTGTATATTTGCAGTGTGTTCACTATTATTCCTTGAAATGAAGTGTCATCTGCCACTGAATGGCTGAGCACAGATTCTAGGAAGAGCTCCTTATGGTTCCACATGAATAAGCATATAAAGCTGTTGGATCCTGGGACTCTACATCTAAATATGTTCATTATTAGGATCTAAATAAAACTAAAATCAAGAGTTTACTGGGAATCTCTCAATTTCATTTTATTGTCTTTTCCTGTAGCATTGAGCACAGAGACTAGGCGTGATTGGAGAATCACAGCTGTTGACAAATGATAAAAATAGTGCTGCCACATAGTTAATGTCATGGGAAATCTTAAAACAGATTGGTCACTTGCAATAAGAGAAGATACCTTGTGTACTGAAGCCCATTTTTGGACTGGTAATTGTTGCCACTCTTAGATTGCCTACCACATCCAATGTCCTTTTTCCTGTTGCTGTCATTCTGGATAATCTTGTAATTTGCTTTGTTAAAAGAAAAGAATGATATTATAAATTTGTGAGTGAAATTAGATGTATTTTTGTTCCCAAATCAGATGTCTATAGATGAGACAGGCCAAAACAGCAAGAAATAAATAGATCCATTCTCCATGGTTATCTGAAAATATTGAAAGTGACGTTGGATGAGCTGTTTCCAAGGTGACTTGATGAAGCATGAAATACTTTTTAGAGTGTGTTCCTTGAACCTGGGGAATGCTATCTAAAGTCTCTCTACTGATAATGATATTCTGCATTAATCCATTATCACAAATCATAAGATCTATGATAATGATGACATAGGATGATTGTTACTATGGAGTTGTACATCAAATCTAGATGGAATTTTTTTGACTTACCCGATGTATATGGTGATTGCCTAGATTGTGTATATTGGAGGATATTTGCTGTTATTTTATCACATGATGTCATTTTAGGAGTTTGCTTAAACCAAGCAGATACTTTCAAATTTTATGAAGACAGGATTGCAAAATGATTATAAGCTTGAGCTTTGGGGTCAGATAGCCTTGAATTCAAATTCTGGTTTTGCCTCAGTGTGATTTTTGGCAAGTACTTAAGTTCCCTAAGATTCAAGTTCTGATGTGTAAAACAAAGTAAAAATTATACTTCTTTTAGAAGGGCTTTATTAGGATCGAGGATATAACCCAAGTAAAGGGCGTAGTCATTGCCTGGTTGTTAGCATGCACTCAATAAGTGTTGGCTAAAGTGACTACAGTGAAGAGAGAATTCAGCTTATCTGTCCTTTTCATCTTCAGCATGAAAGATGCTGCTGGTGTTAACAAAAAATGTATTCAGACATTTGTTAAAGATAGTATGGAAGCCTTTATTCAACAAGGGCATTACTGACTGCAGCGGGGTTTTGCAGTAGGCAGAAAAGACTGAGCTCAACTCTGAAGAGAGAAAGGACAAGTGGAAATCTATCACCAAGGGGGATCGTGGGGATCAGTGGATAGAAAATTATTAAGAAGAAACTGCAAGTCTATGGGGATTCTTGCTAGCCTGACTCAATTGTATTCTTGCAGAAAAAAAGGCCAGTGCGATAATATAAAAAAGGTGGGGAATGAAGAATTTGATAAGCTAACGGGGATGAGAGATTTTTGCTAAACTGACCCAGAAGGATTCTTGCTAAAACTGGACTAAGTTGACAAAGAACAGAGCCTAAGTTTAAGACCTGGTTGAGAAGAGGGCTCAGAGGAGCCTGACTCAAGTTTGGTCAAGTGGGGAGTCTTGTCACTGGCATAAGGGACATACATACCATATAGGGCATAAACACCAACTAACATTTATTGAGTGCCTTATGAATATCAGGCACTGTGTCAAACATTTAGCAAATGATTTTATTCCATGCTTACAAAAACACTAAAGAGCAGGTACTATATCAGTCTATTTTTACAAATTGGGAAACTGAGGTTCAGAATGGTGAAAGAGCTTTTACAATATTACCCAGGTAGACTGACAAAGCTAGAATTTAAATCCAGAGTTTCCTGATTTTATTAACCAGTGTTGATGTGCACTGTTCTGTCTTGAACAAATGTGGTTGTATGGATAGATGGAATCTCACCCTCAATATTTAGAAAATATTTATAGTGAATGAATTAATGAATACTTGTAAGAATGGCAAATCACACTAGTTTTCAATAGGTTTAGAGGAATTTTTAAGTGCTGCAAAAATTAACTTAGAACACCAAGGTTAAGGCATAGATCAGTTTTCAATCTCATTACCCCAGTGCCATAATGGCAGAAACCACAAGGTTTCATGCTTCTTTTCAAATAATCTAATTGACTTGGAGCTCAGGGCTTTAGTCTTTCCAGGTGCTGGTCATCTGCTTTTGACTTGTATGAATATGAGACTCACTTATCTTTGTTGTGGCCACAATTTACCTCAAAAGCCAGTGGGGGTATTTCCTTGAATAAGAAAATGGAAATGTGCTTGGAGATGTGAATCTGGCTGTGAATGTGTTTATGTACAAGCACTTTTAAATAGCGATAAACAGATATGGTACATGTAAGTAAATGTGTCATCGAGAAAACATCCTGGGTAGTTTTCCTTCTTCCCGCATTGGTATTCTGTGGATACATATTTATCCTTTCATCAGCCATTTTCCTCTTTTACAGATGTCCTTGATCACCTTCTGGGGCACCATTTGGAAAAAATGTGGTCTGGTGCTGCCTTTTATGTGCAGCAAAGAACCGTAGAATAATGGTTTAAAATAGACACAATATACAGTTTTGAAGTGTTATTTCTAGAGTTATGGTCAAATCTCTTAAATTGAGTTTTATTTGAACTTATTTTGAAATTGGACTTTGAGACTGAATGCTTGGTGAGTGATAGTGGCATTGCCCTGGACTGAATGCGCTATATTTTAATTCAAGGCTCTTTGCAGATAATTTCAGTCTTTGTTATAACACAGGAGAAACAAAATCATTTCTTAACTCTGTGGTAATTAGAGAAGAATACTAAATGGAGAGTTCAAAAATTCTCTCTGGGGGAATATAGGGTTGTGATTTTCCTGGTTCCTAAGAATTCTCCCAAAATTTGTTATAGAGCCTGATTCATAGTAGATACTCAATAAATACTTGTTGATTAAATGAATGAATGTATTTTTGCCATAAGTGACATGTTCCTGAACCTATGACAGGGAAAGCCTTGATTCTCCTTTGTTTAGGTTTGTTTAATGGAGTCACACTAAAGTCACATAAAGATCAATACAGTATGAATGGCTAACTTACAAACATTTATATTTCAGTCTTAGGAAATATGGTAAGTTAGGAAAACAATTAAGACAATGATTTATACAGAATTGACTAGTTCAGGCAATGAAAACTTCACAGATTACAGTTTAACAAGATTAAACATCACATATAACATACATGTATGACAAACAGTGCTTCTGCTTTTGATGTTAACATACCATCAATTAAACACATGAAAAATATTGCCAGTTCAATTTTGGGTTATGAAATATATAACTTTTTGATAAGACATTTCAAATTACAACATATCTCAGGCAGCATGCAGGAAAAGTCATTTATTGTACGTTTGTTAGGACACACCTTGCCACAAGCTTCCAGTTTTTGGTAGTTAGATCAAGAATATAGAAACGATTGCAATGATAGTATGGTTGAAATCAGCAGTTGTGATTACTGGCTGAGAGCATTTCTGGTAAAAATAAAACTCTGAAATCATTCATTAACAAAATGCACAGTGATCATAAACTCAATTCTTTAAAAATTGTTTTTCACAATTATTTCTCATTTATTGGTGATACAGCAGCTGCAGGAAGTTTGAATTCTGAGAGTTGGTTGTACATAACAGCAGGAATTTATTCTTCTGTGGGCTCACATGATTACAACAGAGATGCTTACCCTTTGAAATCACATATAACAATGGTGCTATGCAAACATCACAAATATTTGGTGTTTCAGAGTCTTAACAAATATTATGTATTTTTTTAATCACAAAGAGACTAGATTAACAGGCAGTGTAAATCACATATATCTTAAGATTTTAAAAATACATTTTATACAATAAGTTTCTACTTTCTTCACTAGCATTTCATTTTGGTGTGTTTTGTCTTCATACTTATAGTCCTAAAGGAAACTATGAATCTCTGGCTCATGCCAAGAAAGTCAGTAAGACTGATATTTCCCCACAGGAATATGGCTGAGTGTACATTGAATCACAGAGTCAACAAAGTAACATCTAATTTATAACAGACTACTTTTAAAATTCAAATAAAATCTATTTTAAAAGACAGCAGTTTGAACAAAACTATAGGAATCAAAAATTTTATTTACAAAACATTTGAGTATATTTTTAAATGGCTAGTTCTTGCTAACTGCACAGCTTAAATATTCTTGGTGCACATAGTCTGTCAACCTTCTGTACAACATTGTTAGACTGCTAAGTTAACTTACATGGAATGGTTAGGTAGGTGGGAAAATTAGATGGCAATTTTCATCCACTCAAAGTGCTTGAAAGGGAATGTTTTGATGCTTTTCATGTTAGACAAGATCTGTTATGTCATTAATGTTGGTGCCTTTTTGAAAGGATTAGCTGAAATTCCCAAAATGTAATTTAGTGCAGTACAAGAATTATAGGAAAGATTGATAAATTTATCATCAAATGTTGGAATTCTAATCTAGCATTATGCAGTTGACCCAAGTCATTGTGCCTCTCATTTACAAGGCTTTTGTTTATTACATTGGCTTAAAAAATATTTTCCTTGGTCCTTAGAAATACAAAATATTCATTTTCAAAAGAGAGAATGTTGGGGTGAGTGTTTCTTACAATCACATTCATAATAAAAGAAGATAATCTACATTTTACAGATCATTAAACAATGGTCTTTGGCAGAAGACTTTATAAATAACTTCCTCCACTTTTAACCTTTCATTTAGGTCATTTTCCTTTTTAATGATATCAGGTAAATGGTCACACATTCACTAAAAGCAGTTAATAGGAAAACACCACAGATATAAAAATATTTAGTGCATATTCTTTTTGAACTTTAAATTCAAAGTGAATCGATTCATTAATACTAGATAAGATACTTTATGCAAGCATTTCTAACAGTGTTGCTTAAGATCATAATTTCAACAATATGGTCAGCAAAGAGGGTATATGTACCTTTACTCCCCCACAAAATTTTATCACTGAAACACACTGAAAGAATGTGCTGGAATCTTTTTGATTATAATATATTGTGTTTCCCACAAAATGAGTAGTATATGATGCAGATACCATTATATATATGTGTGTACGAGTGTGCGTGTGCACTCAAATGGCAAGTTGTAGGGGTTACATTCATTGGCAGCAAAAAATAGAAACAGAAGAATTCAGTTAAGTATTACTGATATGCCACCACTAAGGAATTTCAAAATGTACTGAAGTTATTTAAAAATAACTGTAGACATGGGAATAAACTTCAGAATCAACTGTGGGAATATTAGGATTTCTTACTTTATTTTTCAAGGTAAGATCTTTTTCTCTGCATTTTAGCCTCCCTTCTACTCTCCCCCTGTCTGTCTTTGAAGGTCATTTGTGATGGGTCCTTCAAACTGTGAATACAGGATATGAATAGGCTGTTCTTCTCTTTTTTTTGCCCTGTATAGAAAATTCATGATCACCTCTTAGCGAGAAAGTTTTCTGGCATTATGACATGTCACCCTTTTCTTTATATATAGATTGCCTGTTGTGCCGGCTTGGTATGAGTTCAGTTTACTATCAAAATTATCCACCAAGTTATTACGTGGGAAACACAATTGCCATCAGTAACCATCAAAGGCAAGAGAAGTCCTACATTTGTTTCCTACCTGAATCCTCCCTTCTGACCTGCCCCTCTGAGAACACCCCAGAGGCACAGACCAGTGTTCTGTGCATATATGTAGTAAGTACAGTATGCTAGTTCCTTCCTTTGCTTTGGTCCAGGAAGCTACCAATGTCTACTCAGTGTGAGCTTCCTACCATCTATAAAAATTAATAGATGGAACCCAGGAAAGTACTGTTGTAATAACAGTTGTGCCAACAATTAGTATTATGGCTTATTGGAAGAGTGTTGGATTGCACCACTGGCCTACGAAAATCACCACAAATGACACTGAAAGGCAAAGCTTCTTCTTACCTTCTGATATCAAGACCTTTTTAATGTACCACACATATAAGGTTCTTGACAATATGTAACTTTTTTTCTTAAGCGGAGAGAAAATTTTAATTTAGGTTTGTTTCAAGATTTCAAGACTTGAGCCAATACACAAACCATGGACCATAGACAAAGGCAAGCCCCCACTGTAATTTGGCCTTGGGCTTAAGAGTTTCTATTTTAAAAAAAAGGAGAGAAAAAGAGAAAACAAGAAACCAGTCACTATGGATGGCAAAAGTCGGGAATGAGGTCAAGGCTCCGCATTGTTTGAAATGGTCTGAGTGAAACACTCTCAGTCTGATCCAGCGCCTTCCCCTGCAAAGATGTATTTCCCATCACCAAAGTGGCCAGAAGTGGGTGATTGTTCTAAGAAGTACCTTTTTAGTGAAGCTTTAACTCTGATTAAAAAATAGGTGTGCAAATGAAGATGTACACAATGGTGGCAACACAGGAAGGAGTGACTGTGATTTTGTTGGAGCTATTTGGTAATCAGGTGTGGGAGAAAGGAATGGGATAATGGGGAAAAGAGCCAATGAGAAAAATGCCATCAGCGACAGACAATGAACACTCAAATGATGAAGCTGTGACCAGTAACAGGAGAGGGTCACAGATTTTTAAGAACGTAGAACACAGTATCATACTTAAGTTATTCTAATTCCTGAAAAAGACCAGCCATTCCAAAATATCTGACAAGTTTGGTTTCTCCTAAGGGAGGACTGGAGTGACAGTTACAACATTTTTCTCCAGAATATCATTGTTAAGCTGACATTTCTAGCCCCTTTTGACATACTTTGAATTGCTTTTCTGTATTAAAATGCATGAGCATTTTAAGTATCCACCAATGTGATATTTTCAGGTTAGAATAAAGGAAACACACATGTGTGCGCACACATACACACATATAACCCACAATCTTATGTTCCTTTTCCTAAGCCATTTTTTATAAGCAAAGTCACTTTCTGACTCTCTATTTCTTCAGTTCTGCACCAATTCAAATGAGAGACTCTAGAGAAAGAAGCCTCCAGGGGACTCACGCTACTGTCTACATTATCTGTGGTTTTTAAGTTTCTTGAGCCTTGTGAGTCTTTGGAAATGAATTCTAAAACTAAAACTCACTCATAACCAGCAATTCTTTTTGCTCAATCACACACAGCACTCTTCAAAAGCCGTAGACTGTGTCATGAAGTATAACTCAGTATTGTTACACAATGGTTTAGCATCAAGGCAAATCAGCCAGAGCTAATCAATTAGAGAAAGGTGTCGAAGGTCATTTTCTAGGCCCCAGGGAAGTCAAGTGAAGTAGGTCGGCTGTGGGTTTTTAAAAGAACTAGAAAAGCTGATTAGAAATCTCTCTGATTGGAGAGTCTGCCTGAAGCTCAGTGGTGCCAGAAAAAGACATAAGGATTAATGTTTCTTAAAATTATATTTTAAGTCTGAATGGTGAACATATCTGCCCATGTATTTGAATGAATTGTCTCTATAAGGAACCTACCTTTTAAGCTTTTAAACCTTTTCGTAAAGGAAAGTATAATTAAACATGGGTGACATTGTTTATTCTTGGCCTCCAAGAACACTGTGTCATAGATCAATGATTCTCAAATGCAAGCATGCATCAGAATCATCCTAAGGACTTATTAAAGCCCATATTGCTGTGGTCATTCCAGAATTTTTGATTCATAGATCTGGGCTGGGGTCTCAGTTGGGACTGGATAATTTGTGTGTCTAACAAATTTCCAGTTGTTGATGTTGCTTGTTTGGGGACCAAACTTTAAGGCTCACCAAAGTTGCTAATTTTTAATCATCCTATTTGCACTCTTAGGACAAAGCTTTTCCATGTGGGATGTGAAGGTCAATATTAGATTGTTTTCCTTAGACATTCTAATAATGTAGGTAAGGGACAGACTGTATTTGTGCTAGTTTAATTATAGAGAATCTTCGGGTTCAGAAGTTTGTCAGTATATAGAGCAAACCTGTAAGTAAAACATGATTCAAAGTATGAGAGTCTACAAGTGTATTTGTAGAAAATTCTATGGCCTCTATGTGTAGAACACTATTTTGGTAATAGCGTTAAAATGATCTCTTTTCACATAGGTGATATTTTTTCTATGACCTCAGGATTATTACCATAACAGCTAAATTCGTTCACAATTTCTTGACTGAACGTAAACAAGGGTTTGCTACTTGGTTTTTTCCCAAATTCTTTTTAAAGTATATCAAACGCAAGGACTTACATAAAAGAGTGAACAGAAGGAAGCAACATCAAGGGGCAATCTGTGAAATTCAGTTGGTGAAACATTAAGTTGAACAAGCTTTTGGGACCCGTAATTAGAATCTGCAGTTTGTTCGACTGCTAGGTGAATGTGGGTCAATTCAAGAGGCAGGATTGGTGCAAGAAATTGAGGAAGAAGAGGTGTGTGTGAATGAGCAGCTGCCTATGAGGAAGAAAGTCTAAATCTATTCACAGATTCTCTTTCTTAAACAAGCACCTGCCACTGATTGACAGCTCTACCAAGATTGCTTAAGGCAGACATCAGTAGAAAATGCTTATGGTGCATATTTGTTTTTAAAAGATGGGAAAACCCACTTTTTCAATTTAGTATTTCCTAATCAAATCTGAAATGGGGGGCAAATTCAATGTGAGGGATTTATTAAAATATGAAAATACAATGCTGACTGCAACAAAATAGCAGCTCTACATAGAAATTCATAATGAGAGAAGGAAAAGGAATTTTATTCGTTAACAGAAGTCTAAGTAATTACTGAAATTATAACAGAAATATTAGCTATTTTAATTTTCTCTCTTGATATGAGTCTCACAAGGTCACTTTATCTGTTGCAATGTCAGTAATTTTTGTTTACCTTTTCCCCTGACAAATTTAGCTTTGTGCCTCAGTGGTAATAACGTTGCAATATATTACCGCTGTGATGCTGAAATAGTTTTGCCATTTCCAATGACATTCTAACTGGGATTCCTTCAAGAGAAAGCTTACATTTATTCCACTAAAACATTCTTTGTTTATACAGGCAGAGTTCACTATGGGTGCTTTTCTTCCCCCCATGGAAATGTCTACATTCTCTTGCTATATTTTGTCTGTGTGCAATTTCATTTTGCTAATGAGGCATTTGAGCTGTGGCTGACCAGTTGATTGCTAACGGTGAGATTTGAGTCTTTTGTGAAATCCTTTTGAGCAGTCATTTTCTCCATGACAAGGGAGGCATTTAAAACAGTTGAATCTGTAGCAGATGATTTTTTCTTTCTCATCTTCCTTTAGAATAATTGTACTTTTAAGTATCTTCCTGCCTGGTCATTGCTCATTCTGTTTGTAATTCACATACTTTAGTAAAAAATGACTGGTTAGTTTCTTTTTCCTGAGAGATGAAGCAAAACGAATAAAAAATAAAAGTGGAATTGCTATGAGAATTATATGAACCTAAAGTTTCCATTTAAAATAGCAGATTCAGCCTTAAAAAGGGCACTGACTTGAAATCCATTCCAGTCTCATTACATTTTCTACCATACACTTCTTGAAAGGGGAGAAACTTCTCATTCCTCTCAGGGAAGGGAGACTTTTTCCCCAAATTATTTCAAAGTAAATGCTTATATTTCTATTGGGCTTCATGTGGTTACTTGAGCTTGACAAGTGCATTGGTGATCAAATATGGGCAGCAGCTGGTTCACAACTTAAAGCACCTTCAACCCATATGCATAAGTGGATGATAACAGGGAAACACTGATCATACAGGGCTTAGCTTTATGTGTTTCGGAAAATCAAGCTAAAGTCCTTTCATTTAATGATGAGGAAAATTAAGTCCAGAGCGATCTGAAGATTCATCACTCTCTGAAACAAATAAAGATTCCTTTTCCAAAGAGAAGAGCCTTTGGTTCTTCTCTCTGGTGACGTTTTGATGTTAAAATGAAGAGAACACTGTGTACTTAGAGATGGGAAGAGAGATCTTCTCTAGTTTGCTGTTAAAAGACGAGAGCTAGAGTTGTAACTCACTGAAATAGAACCACATGCCTCAAAGTCTGAAAGAGGAACAGGAAAATCCATTGATGAATTAGTATTCAGCACCAATGAAAAAAAAAATCAGCAATGGTGAGGCAAATGATCTTCGTAGTAAGATTATCCCAAATTGAAATATTGAATAAAAGACCATATATCAAACTTACACAGGTCTTGGCTCATGGTAGTCTCTGGATGTGTATGTTGGGTCTGAATCCATTTATCTCATTAGTGGAAGACAGAATGTGAAATTAAGAAAATTAATATTTCTATATCTATTAGAGGAAAGTTTCCTGATAGGTATCAAAATGGCCCCATTAAGCAGTCTCAAATTGATAAAATGTCTGTAGACCAAAATGGAAGGTTAATTTAATTAGGATGCCATAATTGGACTCCTCCTGACTAAATCAGAGACTAGTGTTAATTTTCTGAAATTACTATTTTTTGAATTCTTTATACCATCTTAGGGTACCTAATATACTTCACACAAAATAAATGCTTGAGGTTTATGAAATTTTATGTCTGGAGAAATATCAAAGGCACTAACTTTTGATTTTAAAATTGTTTCACTCTCTTGACTGTAGTTTGTGAACCTTATAATCCTGGAAGACACACTTGGTAAACTGAACAATTTTTTCCTTTTTTTTTTGGTTTAATTTCTTTTTTATTCTTTTTTCTTAGGTAATTGTCCACTTGATATTTTTCTTGCTTCAGTCACCTTAAGCTGTCTGGTGAATACAATGCTAATATAGAGACAATCACAATGGTGTGTGCTTTTGTACAAAACTTCTGGATCAATCAATGAGGCATCTGCCAGTTTTCTTTTTTCCTCTCGATTACAAGCTCTGGAGTGGTTGTTCTAATCCTCCAAGGAGAATTAGAAAATAAAAGGCAGAGTATAGAGCTATGTCAGTATCCTCCCACAAAATGTGTATGGGGAATATTCTACTGGGAGCCAAGACAGATAAAAACTTACCAGGAAGAGCAAAATATCAAGAGAGTTTTAAAAAAGCTCTGCCCTCCTCTGTAACCCAGCAGCCTCTTGCAGAATCATCCTTACTTTTTCATCGTTTTAAAATGTTATTAAATATCTTATTAGTTGCTTTAAAGGGACTTAGATCCATTCTGATTTTATTTACAAAAGAATCCAGTCTTTAGGTAAAGGTATAATAATACTATCCATGGATCTGATGTTGAGTAGTGGAGGCTTCAGGCTCTGAAGTATGAATTAATTCTAAAGAACAATTAAGCAATTATTATTTTCATTTTACTAATGACATGACTTCTAGAGTTGGAGCATCAGAATATTGTCTTGGAAGGAAAGAATGCAAGTGTAGAGACCTCATCACTAGCTCAAATCCACCTCACTGTGCTCCTTTTAGTTTTGTAAAAATTGGTCATGACAACAAGCTTGAAATAATAGGTTCACTCTCAAACAGGCCACAAGCATGTGATAGAACTGCATGAATCTGGAAAGGCTTGTCAAACAAATAGACTGGTTCATAGCTTAAAGGAGTCACTGTTGGTAATATTTACATCAAGTGAAAAAAAATACTTCTGGTATTGTTCTAAATTCATTAACTGTATTTGACAAGGGTTTGAAGTGAGGTTGTGATATGGCCCCAGTCCTGGGATGGGTCCCACCCACTTTGCCTCCTTCCTGACCCCATCTAGTAATCTGGTGGTGATGTGATTATGACATTAACAGTTATCAGTTTCCCCTGCCCAGCTGCTTATTCGCTTGTCGATACTGTGTGAATGAGGCAGAAAAGGTGGTGGTTGGGCACTGATGTGTTGATGAATCCCATGTCTCATTCTTTGGATAGCTTTGTAAAAATGCAGTCTTTGCTTCAGATTTGACATTTAAGAGCATCTCCCTTTGCTTTGTGTTTAAAGTTTAAATATTCAGTCCAAATTTTAAAGATGATGAACAAATTTAGTGTATTTTAAAGGATGGCAAATTTTTTCCTTTTGACTTTTCTCTGGAAAGGAGAGTTTTTTGTTGTTGTTGGTTTGGTTTCTTACTTTTCTACAGTTGTCTCTGAAGAATGTGTCTAGGGATTAAAAGTCTGAACTACCAGTCTGGGTGAAGTGGCTCATGCCTATAATCCCAGCACTTTGGAAAGCCAACATGGGTAGATCACCTGAGGTCAGACGTTTGAGACCAATCTGGAAAGAGCTCATAGAAGAAGAGTCACTGATAGAGCCGACTGCTCACAGCTTCTTTGGGTGCTAGACTTATTTAACAACCAGTTACTGGAAAAATTTTCAATACTTTTTGATAAGAAAAGTTCTCATTTAAAAAAATACTAAAACTATTCAGAATTTTTGAGAACAACCTGAGAATATCAAGAATATTTTAAGCCTCATATATACACTTATCATAGCCTTATCTGTCTCAAATAAGATCTGGACTGTCAAATTTCTTATAGGAGTACCGATGGCAATAAAATCCTTGTTCTCCTTAGAGTTTTGGACTGAAATTGCAAAGACAATATTTTCTTCTAAATGTAACAATAGCAGTTGTAGTGAAAAATAACTTTCTATTATAATATGATGTTATCCGTTGCTAAGAGTCAATGCTACAAAAGTTCTGTTGATCAAATAGAAATAAAACAAAGTATTTCCACTGTTTCCAAGGGTAAGTTTCCTAGACAGGCTCCAATATATGATGGAGTCGCTGGTTAAGTAGTTTCCAATAACTTGGCATTGACATTACTGCCCCTTCTGCAATCTCATTCCTTACTCTGACAGGAGTGCTTTGAGAAATCTCAGGTACCAACTGTTGGAAAGGGCCAGTTTGCCTGTTAGCAGGACCTTGGAGGGAAAATGCTAGAGACAAGATGATCAGTGTATATGAAAATTGGAGGTTAGTTCAGCTGAGAACAACTAAGCTAAACTGTGGATGGCAGAGGATGCATGTGGTCAAAGATGTCCCGGTATCTGTGGCAGGGCTGGGTGGGTCTCCTACTCCTCTGCTCCCAGCACACCAAAACGCATGTTTAGAAAATGCCGATAAATAGTAGGCATGGGAACCTGTCTGCTCAGTGCTATGTTTGGAGGGATCTCATGTTTTTAATCCCCCAGGGTTTGACCTTGACCAGGATATTTTTTTCAAGAGCTTTTTCAACATTCCCCAAAAGGCCGAGGGGCAATTAAAAGTCAGAAATAAACTCTAATTGGCCCTAAATATTTTTTTTTTGTCAGTAATGCCTGCTAAAAAAGAAAGGAAAATAATTTTTTCAAAGAAATGTACTTCTCTTTGTATTGTAAAAGAATTAGTATTATTCTAAGCCCTGTTAAAACACCTTTGACTTTGTATCTTTAGCTAAAAGTGGGGAAATCAGGAGTATGCTTCCTTCCATGCCTCTCCAACTCTTTCAGAAGCTATCACTAACCTGATAGGAGCTTTTAGGACAATCGTAGACATACGAAAATGCAGCTCAAGTTTACAGAGATCACCTATTTTTACATCTGTGTCTCTGTGCCATATACTCTAGCAAGAGATGGGATAGAGGGGATCCAGTGCTGAAACAATATCTGATTCTCATAGAAACAGTTTTCTAACCATCATTATAAATCTTTAAAAAAATTTTTGTACCACTTGCAATGTAAACTTTTGGTAGAAAAAAAGAATATTGAAAACAACACTAGTATTTGCTGTGCATTAAAAAGCCAGTGTTTCAGAAGCTTTCTAACTACTGATAGATCTGTCTGAGCCTTGTGGTTTATTTGGGCTAGACTCCAGCTCAGTATCGTAACTAATGTATCCATTATTTAAATATGAAAAATCTGAAATGTAAAACCAACATGAAAATGGAATCAGCCTTTTATAAATAACATTGCTAAACTGTCAAGTCATAAAATTTACAAACTAAATGACTTAAAAAAAGAAAAGAAATTTATTGAAGGCAATTTTTATGAGATACCTATATAGGTCCATTGTATTCTACTCAATAATTTGGAAACATGTGCCAAAACATACTTTTCTTTGGTTGCCAAAATCAAAAGTTATGTATGCCCAACTTTGATATTCATATAAAACCTGAGAATATAAATTTAAATTGTACTGTTGTTTCTGGAAACTGGGATTTATTTCACTTAAATATAATAACTTTCAAATATCTTAGGACAATTTGTAATAATATCCTAGTTAACACATTTTTGTGCCAATTCTCTTATTTTTAAGTATGTTCTTATCAACAACACAGATAACTCTCACCCAAAATGCCTTATTATTTAATTATATGAGCATGATTTGAATGTACAATCTTTCAAGATTTCTTCCTTGGAGTATTTCTCAAAGTTTAACATTAGGATGAGTACAGGAAGGGAGAGAAAGATATCTGCAGAGAATATTATTTTTCTTGAAACTAGCCATCTGGATCATATCACTTTTATGTTCAATATTTGTACAATTTAGTTCACTCTTTGCTTTTTGGGTGGAATTATTTCAAAAAGTGGTTACATAGTTGGTTATTTAATTGAACAGTTCTTTCCATTTAGAAAGCACAGGAATTAGAGTCAGGCATCTGATCTTCACAGTAGAGAGAGGGCCAAAAGTTCTCCTCCAATTATTCATCTCTTGTCTTACTATGTGGCTTCAAGGGGTCTAATAAAAAGTTGTGTAAATTAAAAGCATGTTGGGTGTGTAAGGAAATGTCTCTGAAAAATCTCTGGACGATTCTTCTAGGTGAATAAACAATTTCCAGTATGCAGGGTTGTATAATTCTAGTTAATTTATTCCCCTTTCCCCGAGTAAAGTCTTGGATTTAACTAGGTATATCTGTCTTTACAGTCAACATGGGCTATGTATTAGCTGTCAAAATAGACTAACGTTGAAGTTAGCTAATTTCTTTCTTGGTGTGTTTGACTGTTAACGTGAACTTTTCTACCAGTTGCATATCAGAAAAATACCCACAGAGAAGCACTTGACCCACTTATATTTCTTAGAGGCATGGAAGCTATATATTATGTTTTTCTATGCTGACATACTCCAGCTTTGTAGAAACTCTCATGAGCACTGGGGATGTAAATGTTGGGCTTCATTCTCAATCCACACCTACATATATTGAGAGAATAAAAGGCTATATAGATGGGCACTGAAGCATCATCAATATGATTCAAAAGGTATAAAATCAACAACACTAGTGTGTAACTGTAACGTATAATCTGTCCCACACATTCATAAAGATACCATACTATGTTCTAGTGAGTTTTCTAGGCGGAATGTAATCATATTTTATTTCTCTTATGATTAATTTATTTCTCTTATGATTAATTAACTTTCAGAAAAACATGCTTTGAGCAATCATTTTTTTAGCATAAGCCTTTTCCCTATTGCTAAGAGGTAATAGTGAGCATCACTAAGGGTAATTAAATGTAATGGAAGTAGCCATTGAAAAACTGCAAAGGCTGAAATTAGGGAAAGGAAAGATGAAGATTGTACATTCCCAATGGGAAACCTCTCTAACTCTTTGAAAAAGGATAGGGAAGCATGATCCTAAAAAATGTGAACTAACGAAGCTGAAATTAGGGAAAGGAAAGATGAAGATTGCACATTTCCAATGGGAAAACTCTCCGACTCTTTGAAAAAGGATCGAGAAGCATGATCCTAAAAAATGTGAACTAACGAAGCTGAAATTAGGGAAAGGAAAGATGAAGATTGCACATTTCCAATGGGAAAACTCTCCGACTCTTTGAAAAAGGATAGGGAAGCATGATCCTAAAAAATGTGAACTAACGAAGCTGAAATTAGGGAAAGGAAAGATGAAGATTGCACATTTCCAATGGGAAAACTCTCCGACTCTTTGAAAAAGGATCGAGAAGCATGATCTTAAAAAATGTGAACTAACGAAGCTGAAATTAGGGAAAGGAAAGATGAAGATGGCACATTTCCAATGGGAAAACTCTCCAACTCTTTGAAAAAGGATAGGGAAGCATGATCCTAAAACATGTGAACTAACGAAGCAGCTATGAATGACTACATTGATAGCAGATAGACAAGACGATTTTGGGCAAGCAAGTCTTCTTGAAAAAATATGGATCATAATTTTAACTACTAAGTCATGTTGCTTTTTGAAGTTACAAATTAATGCTCTTCCCTAAAAATAAATAAATAATAATTTATATAACCACTGATGTAAATGTTTCTTACAAGATTAAATCAGAGAACCTTTGAGAAAACTGAAAATGTGGACAGCCTCTGAGTGCATGTGGACATCTTGACAGGCAGGGAAAAAATCTAAGAAAGTGAAATACTTACCATTTCTCGGGAGCTGGAAACCTGCAGTGCTCTTTCCTTTGGGAGTTCCACCTCTCAGTGGTTGCTCCTTCTATAGATAAGACAGTCTCTGCTTTGAGAGATGATTAATCATGGCCTAATTAGCCTCCCCATATGAAATATCTATTTCAACTGTTTACCATTCCCATGCTGTCCTTGAGGGTGTAATACCATCAGGACTGCCCAACATTTTGAAATGTAGTGCATGGTGGGAAGACAATGAGATGGTTAGAAGTGGTAAGTACATAATGGTAGAAAGGAATAGCAGAACTGCATTCTATTAGCAAAACTGTATAGGTAGATCTGAACAAAATCTAAGGAATCTACTTATAAAACATGTTTCTTTTTCTGAAATAGGATTCTGTATCTTCTGCATAATACACTCACCAATTTATTTAGAATTCACATTTAACTTTGCTCAGTTTTACCAACTGCCTTGGCCATGCGAAGCGATTGCTATGGTAAAAGCCGACTGCCAGTTGTAAGTCAGGGTGAGATCCAATATTACATGTTTTCAATCATAAAATGGCCAAATGTTCTTGAAGGTATCAAACTATGCTCAGAACTTGCTCTGGATGCAACTGTCAAAATCATAGAAAGTCAGAATCAACAGAGAGACTCCATATCCGAAGCCCAGAAATATTAAAAGTCTTAAAGGGATTGATTTATATTCTTGAGAAGGAAAAGTTTTGCCACAATTAGAGGATGGAGGGCATCATCATCATCTACCGGACAAAATTTCTAATTGCTTCCACAAAGTTATCAGATGTATGTCAGTCTCACTTTATTTTGACAGGTTAGGATCAGGGACCTTTTGCTGTGGAATCATCAATGAATGTGGTGAGCTTTCATTAACAGTGAGGCTATAGGGGAAAGGCATGCATCAGAATCTTCAGGGTTTCTAAAACAGAATATTTTATAACTTAATTTTATATTCAAAAAGCAACAAAAAATTAGTGCTGTTAGGCTATGAACCACAAAAAGCAAAATTTTTAAAAATCCACACTAGTTGAAGGATGAAATTACAAAATTAGAACACATTAAAATGTGCTTATAAGAAATAGAAAATTATTGGGCCACAGAATTTTTCTGAAAGGTTGTTAGATGGTCAAGGAACTCTGGTCATTGAATTACTCTTTTTGCTGTTTAAAGAAATAGATGTTGGCTGCTCGTTTTGTGTTAAACCAATGGCTGGTACTCAGGAGACATATTGATAGTTTGATACTATAAAATATTTAAATAATGCCTTCATTCATACATGAAAGTGTACCACATATGACCATAGAATATAATGAGGAATTCTAAAAAAATTTTTAAGATGATCAGATGAATAAAGTAACATTTACTCACATGTGTGGACAGACTCTATTATAGTAAGAACTAAGTCCACTAATATTAACGTCAATTTCAAATAAGTACACAAATCTTAGAATAGTCAGTATTTTTCCCCACAAATACTGACTCCACTTCTGATGTCACTTCCTTCTGTACTATTTTGACTGTATGACACACAAAGTCAATAACATATATTTAGACAAATTATTAATGCAAGCCAGAAGTTCTACTGCAAATCAAGAGGAATATAATACATGAAACTAAAAGAACAATTTACTTAAGCATCCCTTTAGGAAGGAACTCTACTATCATCGATTTTGGGATTGGCTGATTTGATGCAATACTCTGCATGCTAAAAAGTTGTGTAACTTGTAACTGTTTATGGGCTCATGATCTTGGATGCAGGAGAGGATGTACTTAGAGTTTTACTAAACAATGTAAAAAAATTAGTGAAATGAAGGAATGTCTAACATTTATCTCAGCACTGTCGGACAGACAAATATTCTGACACTGTTCTCTTGGGACATTAAAAAGAGACCATTGCATGATCGAAGGGTTGATGTCCGCAGGACTTTGAATGCTTGGTGTCTGCTTTCTTTCTTTGGATGATGATACCAATTTCACAATAATAACATTTTGGTTTTTATTTCTTCAAAACATGAAAACAAAAAATGAAGTAAATGGCAATGAGAAGACAGAAAACATTCCGTACAGAATATGCTGTATCACTAGTGATGAAATCAGAAACAATTAGAAACTTTATTTGTCTGTGTCAGTAATGTGTACCATTTATAAGGAACAGCACAATTAGTGCACTTTCCCCCCTAAAGCTGTGCACAATACACACAAAATAAAATAATCAAAATAAAATTTTACACAACCATAATAATAACAATCTGGAACAACCAGAATCATAGTTTCCTAGAATATAAAAATTTAAAAAGCAAACAAACCAAATAGCTTTCAAATGGAAATTGACCAATGCCAGAATTTCCTCAAGTTCTCTGTGAAAATTTGCTACAGGATTATTGACATTCCTAATACAGGTAAAAAATGAGTGCAAAAGTCTTTCTAATGTTCAAACAACTTACATTCCTTGAATATATTTACTTGGTGCTTCTAGATTAGCTTTCCATTTAGCAAATTTCAAAAATAAAAAAAGGATGGGAAGGATGGTTTAGAATGACAGATAAAGAATCGTAAAGGTGTGGGCCCCAGAAGAGTATTACTGCCAACAAAGATGTAAGATGGGCTAAATTGGGTCTCAGTGACCTGGATCACCAACATGATTGCCCTTGTCGGTTTCAAATGGAGATATGTACATATCTGCAAGTTGGTCAAGGATAAAGGGGGTGCTTTTCCAAACTTACATTTTATGCTCTCTTAAAGAAAATCTTGGGTATAAATACAATTTAGAAAATTGCTTTCATAACGTTTCAGTGTGTTTATGTTAAAAGAGTTTCATAATTGTTTTTGTTTCTTTCTTGCGAGATAAAAATCTTTCCATATGGCTTTCTTCACTTTTACTCATGAAAATAGTAATCACATTAACTGTAAACCTTCTGAGGGCAGGGATCTAGACTGTTTTGTTCATGGTGTAGTCCCCAGAAAGTATCATACTACCTGGCACAGTGAGTGGGTAACGAGCATTTAATTACTCATTCAGTCACCAAATGTCTATTAAATGATGAAGAATCATGGTTACTGAGTGAAAGAAGAAAAAATGTCTCAACAGCTTTAATTTATTAAGTATTAAGAGGGCTGGGGATGTCTCCAGCCTGGGATTCCTTGTAGACACAGAAGTCTCCGAGAGATGACCAAAGGCATTATATCTTTTTCTCATTAGTGGACTCACTACTTGGGAATATTGGTTTTATCCATGTTCTTTGGTATCTTGAAAGAGAAACAGCGATTCTTTTTAAAGGGTTAAAAGCATCCCAGTCTAATCCTCCTGGGAGGTACTACTCTTATTTAATTGCCTTCTCGTTCATCGTGAGTAAAGGAGACACACTTTTAAAAGCCCATTGGTCACCCTGGCTTCTTTCTTATTCAGGAACTACTAATATAATCAGAGGGAACTAGATGGGACAGTGAAAGACACAGGGCTCAAAATAACTTTTTACGTAAAAAAATAAAATGAACAAACCAGCACTATCCCATCTTGGTTGGACAGTGCAGATGTTAAATAAATACTTTGCAGGGAGGGGTGCTGTGGAAAGGGTGGCTCTGAAAGCCTAGGCACATGCAACATATCCACATCTCTATAAGGCCTTTCTCCTTGGCCTTCCTGAATGAATGAGTGCTTTTTAGAGGCCTCTGATGTGTTCCAAATGGCTAATTTTCCACCAAGACCTTTGAAGTTTGCCTGCTATCCTCTCAATAATTTTAACTTCACCCCACATGACAGTTATTGCTTCTTAGAAATGAATGTGCAGAACCTTGAACAATAAGCCACTTTCTCCTTTTATCCCTAGTAATTAATCAAACTCAATAACAACTCAAAAGTAGCAACTCAGGTGAAAAGAAAACTCACTTATGTCTTCAATGTCCAATCAACGTTGCCGAATGGGAGAACAGTATGTACTCTACTATATACAGATACGCTTGGTTTTATTTGTTTTTCATCCATGCACTGTGTAACAGGTATCACAACAACATTTCCGAACAGGCACATGAAGAAGGAGCAAATGTTCAGTCATGACTGGAACAGGATGGTGCAAGCCATGGATGCTTTTGAAAATAAAACTGACAGACAATCCCAAGCAACACCAACATGGGACTGGGACATGTTTTAATGGAAATGAAGAAGGATGATGTGGTTTCGAATGGGGTTATTGTTCCTGTTTGCATAGGGGATAGCAGGTGGACAGGAGGAACAGGTAGGGGATGGGGCACCTGGGGGCTTAGCTGGGCTGGATGCTAGAAGAAGGGCCTTGCTAATCACAGTCCAGAGCTAAACAGATGAGAAAGAAAGCATTTTGCATGTTCCTGGGAATCTAGGCACATTTTCCTTGTACCTGTTAAACAAGAGTGCCAGGCATCACATCCTTAAATGTCAGACTACATCTAAAAACATCAGATTTCCTGGCTCCATTCCACTCTCATGCTTCTTCTTGGAGGCAGCTTCACCTCTGCTCACATTCTGGAGATAAGCATGAACTTTGGTAATACAATGAAGACATGCTTCTTTCTTCTTCCATGCCCAGATTTTTTCTTAATCCAAAATAATTTTTAAAGTGGTTGGGGGAGGTGAGGGGGAATCTCAGTGATTTAGATTTTGACCAAAAACCCAATTACATTTGGATGGTTTCACTTCCCACAAAGAAAAGCAACAACCCTGACCCTCCCAACAAAACAAAACACAACAAAATAACAAAAACAAAGCCAAACATCAACTACCTCCCCAGCCCCTCTGAAAACAAAATCAAAATTAAGAAAACAAATCAAAGCCTTAAGGATATATGAACCTGGAAAGAGTGCAGCCCTTCTAGACCGAGCTGCAAAGATGGCCCTGCCTCCGTGCCTCGTTCAACATGATGATGCCCCTGGGAATGGGAGGTGATCGTTTTTGACTTCGGCCCTAGTACAGAGAGTTATGCTCTTGAAGCTGGATTCCATCAGCAGGTAAGTGAACATGACAAATGGCAGTTTCCTCTGTTCGTTATACATAATTTTATATATATATATATGTATATATATATAAATTTACTATATCTGATAGTTCCTTTAGAAGCCTTTTATGTGGCAGTAGGCCTCCAGGGAGGAGAAGAAAATGTACAAGAGCCATAGGAGCACAAAGAGGCAGGATGTGAGGAGCTTGGCAGTCCGGGGCCCACCCAGCTCACCTCCGATTTCTGGCCTCCGCCGGTACAGCAGCACCCCCACATTGATGAAAGCAAAAATGGTGAAGAGAGTGACAGAGAAAGCTAGCGTGCCAGGGGACACTTTGAACTGTTCCCCATTGGCTGCGTGGTAGATGGCGGCAATGGACCAGGCCACACCGATTCCCAGGAAGACGTTCACCGCGTTGCTGCCCGTGACGTTACCTATGGAGGCGTCTGCATACTGGTCCTGGGTGGCTGCCACTTTGCTGGCAAATGTGTCTGCAGAGGAAGAAGAGAAAGTCAATGACACTCAACCTTTCAGAGATGTCTTTAGAGTGCTGCAAGCTTCAGCTGTGTGCTCTAGGATCCAACCCTTGATATAAACCCAGTGACCAAGAACTGGCTTTGATGTTCCTTTGAATCAGATTCATGGGATCGAAAGAACAGGATCTAGATATTGGGAGGCAAGTGTTCAGTGCTGGCTGTGTTATGGACTGACAAAGTGATATTGGTCAAGTTCTGTATCCACAGATATTGCAGTTCTTTGTAATATTGAGTTTGCAGGGCAGCATTTTTTTTAGAAAGTAGTCACATCTCACCTACATCAGAATCAAGTGAGGTTCTTTTAAGGAGTGAGTATTGCAAGGTGCTATGTAGCTGTGCTGGTCATAATGACAGCGGCCCAGGAATTGATTTAACTGTATCCTAAAAGATTCTAGGTCACTAAAGTTTGGAAGCAGCTGCTGGAGGGTCTTACTAAAAGATGCTGTATCAGCAGCTCTGGTTTATAGATGAGAAAGTGAAGATGTCAGGGGAAATTTTTCAAGATTCAAGAGCAGGCCAATAGTGGAATTGAAAAGAACTGAACTATAATAGCATAGCTGACCTTTGCTTAGATCTGAACGACTAAGAAAGCAGATTCAGCTGTATTACTGCATTGATTGTGATGGTAATTTTATGAGGCGAGGGAAGGAGGCTTAGAGATGACAAGTAGTGGATGCAACATCACAACTAGGAAAAAACAAGTTAAGGTTACAGCTGCCGCCTCATGTCTTCAAGGCTAATCCTTTCTCACTCTGCTCTTTTACCTTCACTGTGCTGTGGACATCAATGACCATTTTCAAAGCCCTTATTTACTAATAATCCTGAGTGTATCTTTTTCTGATGATACAAAAATCTTGGTCCACTACAGAAGGTTGAACAATAGTGACTTACACTTCTTGATGAGAAGAACACAGGGGATTAGAGCAAATTGGAACCAGGAGACTTCAGATTCTGCCTTCACAGCTGACTACGTACCTCCAGAAGATTACCTAACTTCCCTGGGCCTCAATTTACTAATCTGTTAAATGGGGATAGTGCTGCTCACTTCAGAGTGCTGTTATTAAGCTGAAATATTGCGTGTAAATAAAATGCTTTTCATACTTTTTGGCACAAAGTAGGAGAGGCTCTTTTTGTTGTTTTGGAAACACAACATAAACCAAGCAGGCTAGATGAGTTTAAAAGTTGGAGTGGAATCTGAAATAGCTTACTGTATTAAGAAGCATGTAAGCAGATTTTGCTACATATTAAATTTCTTGTCTATATGATGCCTAGTTACTGACATCAATATCCTGGCTGGGCACAGCGGCTCACACCTATAATCCCAGCACTTTAGGAGGCCAAGGTGGGCAGATCACTTGACGTCAGGAGTTTGAGACCAGCCTGGCCAACATGGTGAAACCTCATCTCTATACTAAAAATACACACACGAAATTAGCCAGGCATGGTGGTGAGCACCTGCAATCTCAGCTTCTTGGGAGACTGAGGCATGAGAATTCCTTGATCACGGGAGGTGGAGTTTGAAATGAGCCGAAATCATGCCACTGCACTTCAGCCTGGGCAACAAAGGGAGACTCCATCTCAAAAAAAAAAAAAAAAAAAAACCCAAAAAACGAACCTTTCTAGCTACCTTGCACAATAGGTTAATAGCAGATATTAATAATTGTCAAATTGAACTTATTTTCAAAGCCAGTAAGAGTAAACATTAAATGACTACGAGGTGTTTTGTTATCAGCTCTGGTTCTTCTGAGGTCCCGGATATGCTCTGATAATGTATGTAGTTGTACGATGCCTGGACTAGTCTCTTCTCTCTGTTGCTATGCTATTGCCACCATCCTTCCTCAGTAAATGTCCAGTGGGGAAGAAACGTACAGCATGGAAGTTTATATGAGCCCATGGGTTCACCTGCTTTATAGTGGCTAATAAGGTTTTTTAGACTACTCAAAGGCTACTGGATCTGCAGTATCACATTCTCTCTGAAAGGGAGTTAGTCGACTCTGAAGGCCTGCCTCATTGATTCTGCCCTCTGCCTGTGATGGAAAACAGATTTGATTATTATTTCATAATTAAAGAAGTAGGCAAATACTGCTTATTCCATGCCAGGCACTATGCTACACAGGCGACATGTATCTTCTGATTCAAACCTCTCGCAAGCATTATGGGCTAGATGTCATTATTCCCCTTTCATGATATGGGAAACGGAGACATTGTGGTATTATGCCTCTTGGATAGGGTCTTAGTCTGCAGAATGTGAATTTTTAAACCAAAGTCTGATTTCAGAGCCCATCTGGGAAGCCTGAAAAGACTGAAGTTTTTCTTTCCTCTTAGTTCATTTCAGGCGGCCCTGTTCCTTGCACTCAGAAACTTTGAAGTAGGTTCTTACCAAATGCTGTTTCCTGTATCAGGAGAACAAAGACTGAAGAACTTATGGGCAGTTTGTGAATCCAGACTCCTGGATTTGTGCTGCTATGCGCATTCATGATCACACATTCATGCAGCCCAGTCAGCTATCACAGAGACTGGTGAGTCAAAGCAAAGCAAGACAAATCTTAATGGTTTCTTGTACTTCATTATTACAAGTTAATAGAAACGGGGCAGCAGCAGCCTCAAAAAGAATAAAAAGGATGTTGTTTTGCTTTCTTTTCTGAGGTCAGGCAGTGGAGCAAGGAAAGTAAAGGAACAAGAGTCCGAGGCAGGCGAAAGCAGCTTCCAGCTCAGTTGCTGCTGAGGAACACCTGAGATGTTATTCTGAGCTGAAATAGCTGGGAGCGCTTGCTGGTGGTGAACAGATGGCCACGTTAGGTGGGCAGTTAAGGAGGTGGTATTCCCTTTGTATGTTATAAGGACAAGTGACCTGGAGCCGTTCCATAGCACACGCCTGCTTACCTCCCCTGGCACCTGGTACATTGCACATTGGACTTCCTGGGTGCCCCATATCTACTCAGGAACTCTGGGCTTTCTGGGTGGCACCTTTGCTGCTGCACCAGAAGGAAAGGAAGTTGAAAATTGAAGACTCCTGGGTCTGGGGACACAAAACATCCAAACCAGTCCTTCAGGCTGACGTGGGGGGCATACTGGGTATGCAGGGATTTCCTCTCCCTGGAGCCATTTATCAGTAGCCTATTAATATGAATGTTGCATGAAGATTCTTATAATGACAGGTTCCAATTTTCAGATGTCTTTCTTTGAATTTCCCAAAAGTTAACAGCTGAAGTGACTAGCTTGTCACATAGATAAGACATGTTTTTGGCTACTTTGTGTCTCATAGGTTTTATTTACTTGGGTTAGACATCAGGCCTTTGGTCTGTTTTTATTTTCAATTCAAAGCAATGAAAAAAAAATACCATAGGAACATAGGCAAATCCAAACCATTAACCTTAGTTCCAACAGACAGAAATCTGTTTTCCAAGTGAAGTGTGATGGGTTCTCCGCAAATTACTTTTTATTGCCACTATGCTGCTCAGTACATAGGGCAACACATCACATACCATATGTTAGGTATGCCAAGCCCTACCCTGAATGCTAAGCCTGTAACTTGCCTATGGTTAAACCAGGAAATTGCCATTTCCTAACAAAATCGAAGAAGTAACTACTGCCTTGGGCTTGAAGGGGATATAATATTTAGAGGTTGGTCCATTGGATAAAAACATGTCTGAATTAGATTTCCAATGTGACTGACACAAACTATGTTGATACTAACATGTGTTTTTCCCTTCCTATATGTCTCCGGGTAGGTTTTTAATAGGTTTTGCTATTAACTCCCACCTTGAATTCTAATTAATTTTAGATCAGTCAGACAGTTTTAGACTTTTAGTTCTGTCTCCTTGATATAGATGACTGTAAATCAATAAGAAGAAAGACTGTCGAGGCAGCATGCTGGAATTAAACTACACATCACAAAATCAGGACATTAATTGTTCTTTGCACACCTGGCTTAAGTTCATGGTATATAACCTTGTCCAAGTCATCTGGTCAATATGCGAACATAGGCCAATACTCTGCCTTTCCTCCAGCAATGATTCTTTGCTTAAATTTCTCAAGCATTATTGCTAGTTATAGGCTAAGCCTTAAACATCTCTTCTGTAAGGAAGGGTGTTCTCACGGTCTTGCAGGATGGACGCAGGGATTCTATATTATCTGGAGCAAGGGTTTCACCCCAGATAGTTCATCTTATTCTTGGTTCTTAGTGTTCTTTGGGGACCAGCTGTTAAGCTTTCAAGAGGTTCATGGCCAGGAACCAACACTGATGGTGGTTTTAAGAGGAGTCCATCTGGTTATGAAGGTCTGCTTGCTTCTCCCAGAAACCAGACCTTGATGTATTCATTCACTGACAATGAAAGAAGCAGCCGAGGGTACAGAGCTGCATGGTGTGGTAGTGGAAGAAGCCTCATCAAAGAGACTCTAGGTTCTTCCAACTACATGTTCTCAGCATGTCACTTCACATTTTTAAGATTCCAGTTTCATCATTTAATTAGAGTATCTCTAAGACTCTTTATAACTTGACTGTTTGGGTGGTGCACAGAATACATTAAAGAACTAAATTTATATTCAATGAATGATTTTGGTGGTGTTTTTTGATAGGAGTTTGTACATGGCCACTCTTTAAAGTAATTAACTGATTATAACTATCTTATTGTGAAGAATAAATGACTTAAATGAAATATTTGAGGATCCTAGGAAGATCTCAAGACCTGAAGATACTACCTTTGATCAAACTATGACAGTAGTTATGAATTTAAACTACATGGCACAGTTATTTACCTTTTAAAATTAGGTAAGAGGCCAGGTGCAGTAGCCACACTCCTGGAATCCCAGTATTTTGGGAGGCCGAGGTGGGTGAATCACAAGGTTAGGAGTTCGAAACCAGCCTGGCCAACATGGCAAAATGCTGTATCCACTAAAAATATGAAAAATTAGCTGGGCATGGTGGCGGGCACTGTAATCCCAGCTACTCGAGA